CTAATGCTAAATTAATCAAATGAAGTGGATTTTTACTTCATGAACTTTGGAAATATAAAATATTGTGAGCAATACTAAGTACTTAATGGTAAGCAGATATTTGCTTTAATTATTTACTAAGTTAATATACTAGAGAAGTTATTATAATATTGTTAATGAATGAGAAGTTTTAATTCAAGTCCCTTGGGAGTTACTGACATTGTTTGGTTATTAAAAACTTTAATTGACAATAAGCAGCAAAGTGACAAATTAAGTATATTTTTAAGTTTAGAATTAAGTAAAGACTTTTAATATTAAAGTTACCTATTGATCAAAGTACTAACTAAAATATTTTATTTTCAGAAAAAGAGAAGCTAATAAGACAACTAAAAGTATTAAAAAAAAACACGAATGGACAAGTTTTATTAAAGTCTTATCTTTTAATTAATTAAAGTGTTATATTATGTACCTGAAAATGAATTTGATAATGGGGAACGAAGCATTTTATGAATAATGTAAAAAATAAGACAAGTGGAGTATGAAATAATGGTTGGTTAAGTAACATTACCTCAAGAACAGGAAACAGTAACTGAACCTATGTTCTTCCACATTTAATCTTAATAAGTTCAGCAGTTTGAATGTTAATGAGATATTATTATAATCAAACTGCATTTGTAGATTTTGGGAAGAATTATATCTTTACAATAACTATTATTATTTACAATTGTTGTGTTAAGGAAACAATCACTATTTTTTTAATCGCCCAGGATGTATTCATAGTAACTGTAGGTATCATAGTAATTTTATGAAATCATCACAACATCTAACGTTAGGTTTTATGAATTGAACAATTTTTTGTATATAACAGCACACAAACAAGATATTGACATTGCTGCAAATTAACAATTACATTAATTAAATATCTACATATATGAATACATCTACATTAGGTAGTAATGCATTTAATTTGGTGCACCTGCGTGTGTTCAGTAGTAAAGTCTGTATTGTTTAATAAGTTGTTACATATGCTTATTTTTCTATGTAGACTGCATTATGTTAAGGAAGATATTTGGTGCCTTATTTTAATAAAAAATAACCATAACTGAAAGATTTTTATTTTGCTACCTGTTTGTTTAATATTCCTAACTATTAGTAGGTATGGGTCATTCATATATGCATTATCTGTATATTCTTGTAAAGTAAACTAATATTGTGAACCACTTTAATGGCTTTTCCTACTAAAGAAGACATAGGTAAATTACCAAAAATAAAACTGACAAATACATAACATACAATGTTTATTCATTTCTTACTTAAACAGATTTTGCATTTACATATTAACTAGTAGCAAATCACTGATATACCCAAAAGTTAATTGACATAAATATTAACTTAAAATCAGCATCAAACTTAAATTTATATCTATTATATCTAAGATGTTAGAGCATCAATATGGAATCAAAGGTTGATTAAGGGTTATAATTTCATACCAGACTAAGTTTCTATTTTATAATTTTTATTAATCCCTCTTTTCATTTCAATTCTCACTTTCTAAAAGTATAAATATATTATAAACAATCAACTTTTATGACTCTAACTTAAACTGAAATTGTTTGTTGGACATAAACAGAGATAATTCCAACTAGTAGCAAATCTCTAATAAAATCTACACTTATATATAAATCTGCTTTCAAATTGACATTAAAAATGTTCAAGCACAAACACCATACCTAATTAAAGCTTAAATCAAACTCTAATTTCAGTGTTCACACTAGTCTACGTTTTTTTTTCTATTGTTTTTTAATTCCTTGGACTTTATCAACTTCTAGTCAACCTTATTTTCACTCTTTATTTATCAATCCACAGTACTATTTCTATTGTTTCTTCTAAGCGGTAACAAAATATGTTGCTTCTTCATTTTGTAGAGTAGTTGTGAGGTCAAATCCTAAAAATATCAAAGTATGAGTACTACTAATATATCGCGATTATGCAATTTCAAAATATTGTATTTATTTGTAGCCTTAAATTTCTGAGAAAACATGAAACAAACCATAATTAATTTAAATTTTAAACATGCAATTAAAATTCATATATTCACTTTGCACCTTCCGTAAATTCCACTTAAATCGAAAATTGTTCCAATCTTGCTGACACACACAGAATAAAAACACCACAGATTATTATTGCGCTACATAGACCACAGATTGAATATTTGAGCCTTAAGTTGAGTTTGGTTCAAGGTGGGTTTAGGCACTGTTTTATTTACATTATTTACAATTTTCACATTTTTATTTAATTTATGTACATTTTAGCTTCCTTAAGGTAGGATCTTAACAATGCTGCTCGACTGTGCAGGTAAAGACGGAGAATCAGATGACGTAATTGTATTAGCCACAGAGGCATAAGTAATGTTAATGTAAAGTTTTAACGAGTCGGTAGAAGAGATAGATTTAAGGCTTTATTTATATTAAAGCAATACAATACTTTTCTGTGAGACATTTTTTAAATCAACTTCCTACTTTTCTTATAACAAGTTTGTTACCAAGGCAACTCCTCGTATGCCAGTAGGTATATACATACTTCACAGTTACCCTTTTTTTCAAGTATTTTTTTTCATTTTTATTGGGCAAGATTTGGAAATGGCACATATCGAATAATTCCAGTTTTTTACTTCCTTCCGCCTTCATGTTGTGCTTTGTTAAAAAGTCTGTATATTTTGTGATGAAATTTTAAAAAAGTTATAAAGTTTAAAAACATCCGCAATTTTGTTGGCATTGACTCTATGTAAAGCTACAAAACCTTTCACCTCCGAAGTAAAAATATGTTTTAAGTAAACCGGGCTTTTATTTCCAAGTTAAGCCTGTCGGTTCTGGCTTTCAAAAAAAACTTTGAAGTCCGTATTGGTACAATGTTCAGGATAGTCTCAGATAACCTGACTAAAAAAACGGAATAAAGTCATCCTCACCGCCGCCTACTTTAGGTCCACATTCCTTCGCAACTCTTTAACGAAGAATTGTTGATCGTTTTGGAGTTCCACCTGAGTCCTCCGGTTCATAAACCCCTTACCGCATGGTTACCCATAAATGGATACATAAGTTTAATCGTTCGAAAATCAAAAATTACGTTATTTTAACCTTTACCACATACTAAGACATAATATCAGGAAACGTCTAAACGTCAAATCAAGTACAAGTGCTGCCACCTACTTCACCTGGTGACGAAACAATTATTATCGCATAAAAGTAAGAAGCAAGAAATGGTATCACAAAATATTTTTCCACATTATTGACTTAGCATGCGGAAATAGCTGGATCCTGTGGCGTAAACCCCATGAAACCTAAATACCATTGCTAGATTTCAAATTAATATTGGCAGAATCATTGACCAGAGCTAACCAAGAGTTTTACACGCCTACGCGAAATCGTGGGAGGCCTGAAGCTGTAGAGCCTTTAAGGAAATGGAGACGACAAATAGAGCTGCCTCTACCCGAAATCGCCAATGACGGGTTAGATCATTTGCCAGGATACACACAGGATCGACAACTTTGTAAAGTGTACGAGTGCTCAGGAAAATCCTACGTGAAATGTGAGAAATGCAATGTACATCTTTACCTTATTAAAGAGAGAAATTGTTTTAAAGCATTTCACACTACTTAAATTGTAGATAGGTATTTAATTAAGGCGCAAAATGTGATCTTCAACAGATCTTATCCAATATATTTATTTTTTAGTTAACATAATTTCCTGAGTTTTATTTTCTAAAAAAATATTCTTATCCTAACCTTACCTCATCTAATATATTTTTGAGGGGCAAGGGGAATATGCTCGCACCCATTAAACATTCAAAATAACCATGACTGCATTTGATGCCAAAAATGCCAGAACGGGAATTTGAGACTTTACTGCATAATATTATGCCATATATGGGAAATTACAAAATTATATTATTTTTCGAAAAGTATAAGGATTTCAGAAAAGTGTCCAAAGTAACTTTAAACTCTGTGCCATGGAATATCGCATGTATTTTTTCCAAAACGAAATAAAACTCCATGCGGTAAGGGGTTAATTTTAATAATTAACAAAATATACAATTATTTACACTGACTAAAATAAGTTTTGGTAATATTTACACAAGATATTTTAACGAAAAACAGTAAAGATAATTAAATCGATCGCCACATTTGGAGTTCCCGCCAAAAGTCTCACAGATTATTATTGCGATACATAAATCACAGATTAAACAAATCATAAGCATTACTTTACATCAAAATCCATAAACTAAGCAATAATAGTAGACTGTAGAAAACAATTAAAAATTATTTATATTTCAAGCCTCGAGGTGCTCGTTTCAAATCCGATGTTAAGGTAAATCCAAAAGTTTGTCCGTTCAATCCAATTAGTCAATCCGGGGAGTACAATCCTTTTAAATGTCTTGAACCGTATTAGAAATAAATTCATAAATGATATCATGCATATCATGGTTCATAAGCAAGTCTTGAATACAGCGCGGGATATTTTCAGGTCTTCTATGATAGTTTAACAAATTAGATGATAAACAAAGGCGTTGGATATGGACTTCAAGGCATTCGAAGAATATGTGGTCTAAAGTTTGATTGACGTCTGAATTGCAATACAAACAGGAGGGAGACATAATAATGCGAATGCAGTGTAAATGTGAATTGAATCTGCAATGTCCGAATCTAAGGCGGCAAAGTATTGTGTAAAATCTTCTGCTTTTGTAATTGCTGGATTTACAAAACCATGTCATTCCAATATCTTGGTTGATTGTAGCATAACAAGTGCCCCTTCTCGCTAAACTTTCTTGCCAAACATCTTTCCAATTCTGATTAAGTTTTGAATTTAGAAGTGGTAGTAAATCAATGTGTGGAATGTAAACTTTGTCAACACCGCTGCCGCTGTCACTGACAACAATCGCACATGCAAGGAAATCCACATGCTCCTTGCCTGAGACTCCTATATGCGAGGGCGTTCATAAGATTTCCCCACTGTAATTTCATAAAGTTAGTATTTGATTTCGGGGATATTGTAGCTTGACTTAGCACTGAATTGATGATTCTGTAGAGCTTTTAGAACACTCATGGTGTCTGTGATGATTACCCAAAATCTTTCAGAACGATCTTCAATGAATCTTAATGCAGCAACAATAGCAAGAGCTTCTGCAGAAAATATGCTCAAATTTTCCTTTAATTTAGTACCTCGTCCAAACTTCAAATTTGGAATATAGAATGCCACTGAAACCCTATCCTTCTTATTCCAGCCATCTGTGTAAATATGCTTATAAATGCGATATTGAGATAAAAGATTATAGGACTTCTTGTCGATTCTCTCAGTTTATTGCTTATAACTATGCTGATGTGATGCATAATACTTTCATAGCTATTAGTATAGCAAACCCAGTTATCTGATTTAAAGATGCTGTGCTGATTGATCAGATTTAACAAGGGAGCTCATGCAAAAGAAAGGGATGATTGCTTGAGAGAGGGGAACTCACAGGGTAACTATTGTTCAGATGGATAAGTTTGGTAATAAGCAAGTGATTATGTATAGAAAGTTAGTTTTTAGATATTGAAACCTTAAGAATAGTGGAGGAGTGTTGCATTCAACTTGGTGTGAAATTATGGGAGTTGTTCTCATTGCTCCAGTAATGAGTGAGTCTAAGACTATGATTTTGAATGATGTCTGAAGAAATTGGTTATTTGAGGCAAAACAAAAGAAACTGTATTCAAAGTGGCTACAAACCAGAGATTTGTATAGAGTTACAAGAATTTTAGGATCAGAGCCCCAGTATTTTCCAGCAAGAGACCTCAAAATATTCAGCGCCTTTATAGCTCTGTCAGTTACATAATCAACATATTTACCCCAGGATAAATTGTTAATAAACAACACACCCAAGAACTAAGAAAAAGGAGGGCTGCAATTACCTGGACTGTAAAGGCTTACAATAGTTAATTCCTTGCAATTTGAATATTTCATTCTAATAGCTTTATTTTGAAGGGAATTATCATAAACATTATTTATATTAGAGTAAGAGATAGATCTCCCTAATGGTTTTGTTGCTAACTTTATGTATCCTCCTTAGCCTTAGCATACTCCTTTCCATGGCGTGTTGTAGTAAGCAATCTGTTTCTGGCCTTAATAGTGTACACCCATGTTTGGCTACCATAGGTGAGGCAAGGCAAAATACAGACATCCATTACCGTCTTTTTTAGCTCTAAATTATAAGATCCTTTTAAAAATTCTTTGTGTGACCAAAACTTGATCCATGAGCTTCTAATTCTTCTTTCAATTTATTGTTCATTAACAGTAATGAGCTGCTGTTGAAGGAAATTTGTTTCCCTAGATAGACATATTGGATCTGGTGCCCATCTATTCGTATAGGTCTCTGATCTCTCTCTGTTTGTTAAAGCCTTAGTTTTACTGGTGTTTATGTGCAAGCCAACTTTTTTGCTTTTGTTGTTCAAAGATTACATCATTTGCTCAAGTTCTGAAGCAGAGTTGGCAAAAAGTGCAATATCGTCTGCAAATCTTATGTGGCTTAGTTGTCTATTGCCAATCCATATACCATTAGATTTTCAGTCCAATTTTTGAAACATCATTTCCAGAACTGCTATAAAAAGTTTAGGAGAGGGTGGATCCCCTTGCCTCACACCTCTTTCTATATTAATTTCTTCCCCTTTGTTTTCCAATTGTATTGAACTTGTACTGTTTGAGTAGATGTTTTGGATCACTTTTGTATAGCAGTAGTTTATATTGCAAGAGGTTAATGCTTCCCAAATGGAGCAGTGAGTGATGCTATCAAATGCCTTAATATAGTCCACAAAAGCTATATATATAGAGGATAATTAAATTAAAAAATGAAGACAATATATTCAAAATTGCTACCATCTTCAGGATAGAAACAGACATAATTAGGTAATTTAAACGGAAAGTACTTATCCGCGTCTTCTTCCGAGATAATGGAGTTCGACTCAGAGTCCCGCACCGCGGCGCTTTACTCGGTGTCTCAATCTCCTTTTTCTTAGGGTAGGAGGGGGGCGGCATGATGGAGTATCTAAAATACCAACAATACAGTATAATCATTACGTTTATTATGCTTATTTATTTATGGCACAATGTCTTATTAATCTAACTACAATTTGGCATAGTCTTTGGGAGATGAACTTATAGCATTTTTTTTAAATAAATGATTTAATAGGAAATTTCAAAAAACCATCTTGCCCCATACCATGGGGTAAGATGGGGTTATGAAAATAGGGCAAGATGGGGTAAGCTAATTATTATCACAATAAATACAAATATGAATTTCTTGGGTGTTTTCATCATCCACACCAGCACAACCATTGTGAGCCCAACGTCCACAAAGCTGGCAGCCTACCCAACCTACGGGTGATATTTTTATCATTACAATAGAGACAAATTGTATCTTCATCATTACAATAGAGACAAATTGTATCTTCATCATCGTCATTTTTCGTTTTGGCCGCAACTGTAGTCTTTTGTTTTTTCTTAGCATTATTTTTTTGAGCCGAGGATCATTACGATTGGATACTTTCCTCAGTTTTTTCAAATTCTCCAGCTCATTTTTATAAGCTTTCAGCGCGAACAAAATCAAGTGCTATTGAAACCATTTCGAAATATTGTATTTAATTCATCCAGTTTGTTTATAAATGTCGCAGGGAAATGGGTTGAGCTACTTATACACCCTTCTGTTTTCGTAAGAAACATCTCGAGAAGTTGTTGGTGAATTATATCTTCAAAACGTATCATTGATAATGCAAGTCGTAAAAATTTATGACCTCTAATGCTTCTTGAGTAAGCGTGACCATTGAGCAATTTGTCTACAGAATTCTTTGCATATACAGTAGAACCTCGATAAGCTAAAGTCCAAGGGAAACACAAAATATTTTAAGTTAAAGAGGTTTTAAGTTATCAAGGTTCTATGTTAGGTAAAGGTTAATATAGAGGTATGTATATGTTTCTATGTACCCTTGCTCCCATTTTTACTCGAATGCATCAGAAGGATGGGTTCAATAAAATACTGAAAATTAAATATGTAATCATATTTATTCACATTACTTCCAGGACAACGATCAAAAACTTATGATGCAAGTAAGTCGTTGTCACAAAGCTAACCGCCGCAAAGCTTTGAAGAATTTAGATAAAGCAAACAATAGGTAATGTATTGTTTACGTTAACAATACATTAGTAAACACGTGCAAGCAATAAATACCGAAACCATTTGTTGACACTCTTTCAAAATGACTCATTCACAAACAATTTTATGTTATAGAGGTTGTGGAAACATTTCTTTTAGTTACTGAGGGCCTATACAGAGATTATTTATTTAAGTTATAGAGGTTGCGTATTTTAAGTTATAGAGGTTTTGGGCTCTGATGGGAAGGGAACATAGTATTTTTTGAAGTAACAGAGGTTTTTATGTTACCGAGGTTTAAGTTATCGAGGTTCTACTGTATTTCACTGAGAGCTTCCTTGAGTCCACTTCCGTCCATTATGTACCCTATGCTTCCCAGAAAGGACATACGCATATGAAATCCTCCTAATTTTACAACTATGTTACATAATGGTGAGTTAACATCTGACGCAGCTACCATTTCACGTGCTTTAGAGTAGAAGGGTTGATCAAAAGTAATCACATACGTTTTTTGTCTATGTGACTTAGGAACGTCGAGAGCGCAATGTAAAGTTGTATAAATATGTCTACGTGACTGGCAGGATTATAAATAAAAGAAAGAAACATTTTGTTGTTTGTAGTGAGCTGTTAAAGATAACCATTCAACCCTGGCAACGGTGTAATATCTCTCCACTTTCCATATAACCACAAAAAATCACCACCGTTAATTTTTTTTCTGTGACTGCTTCATCTCGTAAATTTTCGACTTTAACTTTACTGTATCCAGGTATGACTGGTTTGTAATAAACTTTAAGACATACATGTGATATGGCTGCCAACTCTTACGCACTTTGTTTGGTTGTGCATTTTTATCGTGGCGACCCCGTCTGTCCAAAATTGCACTTCCATCGTACTTCTTCCATGCAGTTTTTAAGATACGAGTTGAAACGGCAAGAGTATTAATAAACATAGTTTGGCATACTTCGGTTTTCTCGCAGTGAGATTCGCTAGAACCTGTGATCAGCGGCAGATAATACTTAAAAGTATGCTTTCTATTATTAGGAGTGTCTTGATTCAGGCATCTTTTCTTCTTCATTTTATCGGAATATTTGATGATGACAGTGGAATTTCATCATCAAATATTCCGATAAAATATAGCATAGCTCGTTTTTGTGAAGCATTCCAACCGCTGTTGGTGAGATATTTTATCAGCACATTTGTAACAGCATTTACACGATGGCCCCATCGTTTTTTCGTCTACGGCTTTTCCTTTTTTCATGACATATTTCTTACCTTAGTTCTTATAGTCCAAGAGCCCAGGGCCGCCAGACGTTACTTATTTTCTGAGTAACAAAATGTATCGTACAGAGTAGTGTAAAGCGGTCTACACACCAAAGCCGCTGACCCGGCGGCTTCAGAATGTCCAAGCCGAACGACTTTGCCGGCGGCAATGCCGGCGGCACGACAGCCGCGGCATGTGGTGTTCTAGTAATTGCCAAATAGTCGTAGAGATTGGACGTGTGTGTTTCGAATAATTCAGAAGTAGTATTTTTAGATTGACATGGAGGAGGACGATAACAGTGATTTAATATTAGCAGTTTGTGGAGTTATTATCGGTGGATCCCTCAACACACGAAAGTGTTGGGTTAGGCCAAGTTTAATGAGTCGCAATAAATACAGTACTTGTCAAAGATTAAGTGATTTAGAGGAAGACGACTTGGTTCTATACAAACCCATTTCTTTTAAGACTTTCCTGTCATTAACCAGTACCGACTTTGAATATTTACTGAATATTGTTGGACACAAAATAGCTAAACAAGACACAAATTACAGAAAAGCAGTTTCACCATTGGAAAGATTGTCAATAACGTTAAAATACCTAAGCTCAGGAAATTCTTTTAGTAGCCTGTGCGACGTCTTTAAAGTATCTCCTCAACTAATTTCAAACATTATTTCTGAAGTATGTGATGCTTTAGTTGAAGGACTTTCAGATTATGTGAAAATTCCAAGGAGTCAGGAAGGATGGAGAGAAATTGCAGATGAATATTTAAAAAGATGGCAAATACCCAATTGTCTTGGGTCAATGGATGGGAAACACATAAAACTTCAATGTCCCCCAAAAAGTGGAAGTGATTATATAAACTATAAAAAATATTTCAGTATTGTGCTCTTTGCTTTAGTAAATGCTGATTACAACTTTTTGTACGCTAATGTGGGATGTCAGGGTCGGATTTCAGATGGTGGGGTTTTTAATAGTTCAGCATTACGTCGATTGTTAAATGATAATGAATTGAATATACCACATAAAACCCCTTTACCCGGAAGGAATATACCAGTACCGTATTTTTTTTTGGGTGATGACGCGTTTCCTCTGCAACCCCATATTATAAAGGCTTATGATGGTAATCACACAATGGGATCATCTAAGAGGGTTTTTAACTATCGCGTATGTCGAGGGCGAAGAGTAGTTGAAAACGTGTTTGGGCAGTTAACACACAAATTTAAGATTTTTCATAGACCTATTCAGCTAATCCCAGAAAAAGCTACTACTGTAACTTTGGCGTGTATACATTTATTTAATTATATCAAACGAACCGCTGCAACTCAGCAAAACGAATACGATACTGAAAATAATCAAGGAGAAGTATTTCCCGGTGAATGGCGTAGACATCTTGAAAACGACAGTTGCTTAGATAATATGTCAGGAGAAGACAATCAAACCTCGAATACTACAGTGACCGCTGAGGATACAAGAGTGGAGTTGACTCGTTATTTTCTGTCTAGTCTGTCGGAGGATTAGAATGGCAATATAACCAATAACTCAACTCATATAATCAATATTATTTTTAATCTTTCTCTCGATTTCCGGAACATCAGTAGCAAATTCACTGGCAATTTCATTAAATGCGTCGTAACGCTTTGGCCGGCTTTTGTAGTCACGGTTTTTTGGGTTCCATAATATTTCTTTAAAATTATAGAGGTCTATTAGTTTTATAACTGTTGCATCGTCCCACTCCATAGTGCCGACACTTCACAACAACAGAGAATAAATAAGTGATACGTCACTACTCTATGAAAGCCGGCGGGCAACTGACTGAGTGAGTGGAGAGGGATGCCGTCGGCATCGGCATGCTGCCCTGCCGGCTTGCCCGCGCGGGCGCAAGCCGGCGGCATGATTGTATAAAATAAGGCCGGCGGGTTGGGCCGGCGATCCGTGCCGCCGGGTCAGCGGCTTTGGTGTGTAGACCGCTTTATATTAACATTCATAAATCACTATAAAGAAAATAAACACATTTATTCTTCTAAACATTCATAGAACTTAAAATTCAAATTCAACAATAATCTGTTCTGTTAATTATACCCTAAAATCTGACGCTGAATCTGGCTGAAGATCAGCATTGATTAATAATAAGTTTTTGGCAATATTGTAGCAACAAAACAATACAATCATTTGGTTTGGCTAATCCTACTACTAAAAGAAATGTTAAATCTTAATAATCATGAAACAAGGTATGATTATAATTGGCCCTAGAATTTTTATTAATGACACAATTCACATTCAAAAGACTTATCTTTGGCCTCTAAATAGCTTAACCCTACAAATCGCGTGCATTTCAGATGATACCATGTAATACACTTGTCACAGCCAATGTTTTTCTCGTCGTCGTCTTCTACATCTGAAATTAGTACATCATCACATTCAGGACATTTCACTCGTTCCACGGCTGGTAAATTTTCTTTCTCAATTTCCACATTCACCGTTTTCTCAGTGACTTCTTGAAGAGGATGTATTTCCTTTTTTCGTTTCGGAGCAGTTTTACGAACCGTTTTAGAATGTTTTAAAGTTTTTTTCTGTTTTTGTTTTTCTAGTCGTTCTAACTTTCTTTTTCGTATTGCATCCTGCTTTTCATTTTTGATCTGCTCTTTATTTTCATAATACTTTCTCCATGCAGCAGACGATATGGCTGCTGGAGTTCTTTGATTATCTTTTCTTGCTTTGTTAGAGATTTCTGGCAGCATCAGGTGATTTTTAAATGGATCAGATGTTTTTTTTAGTTGTAATTCTCCAACAACTGCAGAAGCTGGTGGTACTCGAGGAGGTAGTGATACAACTGATGCTGAATGAATCGAAGAAGTCAAAGCCGGTTCTGGCGATTGTTCCTTAGGTTTTTTTTCAACACTAGACATAGTGGGTGATGATGCAATATCTTCAAGCGGTAGAATTAGAAATTCGTCTAAGGACACGAGAGAGCCGACGTCGAGGTAACTACCAGAAAGATGTAACGTCGAAAGGGACAAGTCAGGAAAGGAATCGTTTTTGTTGGTATCGAGAGTTAAATTATCTGGATATATCACATCAAGTTGAGCAGATGCTAGATTTCTATTCCTGGTGGTTATTTTTGATGTGCAAGTCTCAGCTAATGGTTTTGGTGGTGAATGTATTAGGGCTGATACTGTTTGAACCTGTACATTAGGATCTGAGTTACCTTGATCATTTTCGGTCTCGATTTCTTTAGTTGTATCCAATTCACAATAGCTAAAAATAGTACTATTTTCTTTTGTTGAAAGTTCCATATTATGTGACTTCTCAGATTCAGTTTCGATAGAAATCTCAGCAAATCCTATTTCTGCAGGGAGAGACTTTTTCACACTATTAACTGCTTTCGAAATAGTTCGAATGTCGATATTTTTTTCTTTTAGTGTTGATGTAGTGGTGTAGATGTTTTAAAACTTTTTTAAAGATTTTAATGTCCGAGTGGGTAACATCTTGTGACTGTTGACCAACGGCCTGTACATTTTCTAAAGTATTTCTTACACATTTAGTGTAATGAGGACTATTTGTATCGAATGGATAAAGACCACAGCGCTTAAACCCACTTTTTATATCGTCGGGAATGTTGGGATGTTTTAATGCATCATTTAATAATGTGCAAAAGTTAGTTTTCGTGATGGCAGAATGAAAATTTTCTGGCTTTGACAGAAATGTGCGGACTGTAGATTGCCAATATGTTTTAACCGGCGCAAATACGCTTACGTCTGCTGGTTGTAAAATATGGGTGGTGTTGGGCGGCAGGGCATACAAAATGATTTGCAGTTGTTCACATGCCGTACTTAGCATTAAGGACATATGCGATTTATGCCCATCTACCAGCAGAAGCACGGGTTTTTTAATATTATTTTCAAGTATCCAGTTGTTAAACTCGTTGGTGATGTATTCAAAGAATACTTCTCCTCTCATCCAACCTGTCTCCGATCTGCCTAAGCACCAATTTTGGGGCATACTGTTTACCACAGCTTTTGGTGGTCTAATGTATGGAAACACAACACACGGTGGACACATATCTCCATTCGCATTAAATGTTAAGAAAGCCGTTATGTTTTCTTTTTCATTACTTTGCTTAATTTGGTAAAAGTTTTTGAACCCTCTTGGGCCTAGAACTTTCCCTGTCTTTGGACAAAGAGCAAAACCACTTTCGTCCCCATTAAAAATTCTTGTAGGATCACTCAAGATATCTTTTTGATGTATACTTTCCAAATATTGATCTAATTTTTCAAACCACAGGCTGATTGACTCTTCTGTGACTTGGGCTCTAGCTTTATTAATGCCCTCCGCATTTTTAACTGAGATTTCTAAATTTCTGGCCAAAAATTTCTCAAACCATTTTTGACCTGGGCGATCATCTTTAAATTTATTTTGTATCCCTCCGTCTCTTATTATTTTCTGAACAGTATCAAGCAATTCCTGCTTTTTTACTGGAAATCCACATTTGGAAATATTAAGAAGCCATTCTACTACCTTTTTTCACCATCTACTCCTAGCACAGGCTCTGGGCCCGGTTTGTTGACTCCACCTGGTCTGCGCCCACTGATTTTGTCCAATATTGTGGTCTTTGGAATAGCATATTCTTTGCATACTTGTCTTACCGATTTCTTCTTCTCTCGAACTTCATGCAACGCTTTTCTTAAATCTTCTTCTGTGTATGCTCTTTTTTCTTTGTTATTTCTTATCGGCAAAGAACTCATCTTAAACTGAAAAAAATAGGAATTAAAGTAATTACTCATTTCATTCAAAGTTGAATAGGTATTAATTAACCTTTAGTCATAATCAAAATTGTATCTACAACACATTTTGTATTCAAAAATACTTACAAACAAACCAATTGTAGGGAATTAATTAAAATAAATGGACGCGATTTAGTTTTGTTATTATTCCCTGTAGGTATAGTTTGCGTCCATTGCGGACGCAAAGTGGAAGTTTTATAAATTCGGTGTAGTAATTCGCGTCCATCTTATTTTAACCGTTAACTATTAAAAAAAATAACAAATTCATAATTAATATAATTCCTTTTATCAATATCAAAGTCTAGATACAGCTATATATGCAAAATATATATAAAACAATTAAAAACTTACCTTCAAACACACCTCTGCCCACTATTTTTGTCTAATAATCCCACGTGTTCGCGCTCTCTCGTTGAACAGCCGTCACTGACTATTGTTTCTACACAGGATTTCTTCAACGAACGGAACTTTTGTCTATGTGTGCGTGCCTCTTATACATTGAGGTGTTCCCGGTAATGACTTTTCGACCTATGGGTGTCTTAGTATACTTAATTTCGAGAGTTTTCAAAGGGAGATCCGTAAAATGGACGCGAATTGGGCGATGGACGCGAACAGGCGAAATGATCCTATAATGTTTTGTAATTAATTTGTTTGCAAGTACGCCCCTGTGTGGGCGTAATAGGCACGGGTATGTAGCTTAAGCAGGCAAAAATAATAGCACGGTGGTCGGCCAGTACGGTGTTTAACGCCGCCGAGTACGGACCTAATGAGGGAACGCGAAAGAAGATATGATCTATGCAATATTGAGTAATTAAATTACTTTTTGTTTCTCTTCTAGTAAAGTCAGATATTCCACACGACAGTCCATGCTCGCTGAGCGTCTCTAAGTATGTATATTTGTAGGTGAAATTCTTTTTTAGGTCAATTTTAATATCACCAACCAAAAGCAAATTTGTTACCGAGTTAAAATTCGATATGCAATTGTCGAGCTCGCTTACAAACAGGTTTTGGGTTCTGGGCCTTGGTGGCCTGTAAATAGCACCCAATTTTCATGAGCCTATTAGGTTTTCAAATGTGATAGCGTTAAAACTGTAAAAAGTAAATTTTAAATGATATAAGTGCTCGCCTCCACAAATTGAACATTTTTGTTTACTATTACAGATTTTTGCTGAGTGGTTAAACTTGAAACATTTGTTAATAATAATAATAATCTTTATTTATTTCTCACAAAAACTTAGCACATTAACAAGTGACAGTTATATACTATTATAAATAAATAATTGTCTTACTTCTGTTTAGGGAAAAAGCTAGTTTGTGTGAGACTGATGCCTGCTAAAGGTACCTGTGTTACAGGTCATCAGGCCTCCACCACTTTGGATCGACAGAAGGTCTTATAAAGTAGAGAAAAATCAAGTGAGAATAAACAATCATTATTGCAATACTTATAGGAAAACACATATAAGGAAACCACATGGGGTATGTGTCGATGCGTAAATTATGTGCGTGTGTGGGTGTGTGTCTGTGTGTGTTTTATTACTTAATTGTTAATCTAATAAAGCCAAAACTATTATATTATAAATTTATACCTATTATATCATTAACATAAATTAGCATCAACTTTATACTCAACTATTTAATTATGGTAAGCATTTTTTCTGTTTCCTCATAGTTGAGGTCCAGTAGCCACAGTGCAACCGTCTTCTTGCACTCATGTTTTGTTAGAGGATATATGGAATGGAAGTGTTGACCTTATTATACAAGTAAAAACTCTTTAAAACATTGTTGTAATGGTGGTATATATTCAATAACTCTATAAAAGAATAAGTCGTATTGTATATTATCTGGTAGAATATTAGATAGAAAAGTAATGCTAACAGTTAGTAAAGGAACATACTCATGCCCTACTTTCTTTGTAAAACTTCTGATCGCAGTTCATATATTAATGATAGCATACTGTACAACTCTTTATTGGAAATGTTAGTCGGAACAAATCTTATGATTCCTGTCTTTTCAATCTGTGCAGCAGGAATGAATGGTTTCATTTCGTTTTTTTTTTAAATGATGAATAGGGTAAACAGACAGTCATTGGACAATTAAGCGAATAAAATAGTTTGAAGATTTTTTTTCCTTCGACTATTTCTGTATCTCATAAACTGTAGAGATATTTGGAAACTAGATAAAATGAGCTATCATAACAATTAATTAAAAACCTTACTTCTTGAGAACAGTTGAAAAATATTATTATATTTAAAAAAATGAACAAAAAACACAGTTATTGGACGGTTGGAAACAATTATTGGACAGTCAATTAATATAGTGAAATTATAGTTAAACACGTAATAAAACACTATAAGAACATTATGTATAATATTATTAGAACAAAAATAGCTTTTTTAATTCAAAAAATATATAAACACCTCTGAAAACTAAGTCATATGTAAATTATTCATTACTAAACTCTAATCAGTCTCAAACGTTAGGGATCATAAATATTTACAGAAATAAAATCTGAAAAATAAAGTTTATGAAAAATTTAAAAAGAGTAACAACTTAAAATTATTACAGTAGAGCCTTGATAATCCGAACTAGCAAAAACTACCCCTGTTCGGACTCACGAAGCGTTCGGATTATAGTATGTAAGGAGAAAAAAAAAACATTTTTATTCTTAAAATAGTGTTTAATTACATATATACATAGTTTAAGAGGTACAGTAAGCAACGAGCTGGGCTTTACATATTGACCTTGGGAACGCTTTTATTACAAGCAGCGTAAGGACTACAGTCGTAAAGCAAATAAAAAGCCCGGCTCGTTGCTTACCGTACATTTACATAATAATTAGGTACCATAAAATACGTAAGGTGTAAATTGTCTATTTAGTCATAAACTGATCTATTTTAGTTTGGCGAGTCCTGTTGATGGACCAGAAAAAAGCTTTGTCCCTCAAGTTACGTAGCATCATCTTTTCCGATAAGGACAGGTCATTTTCTTCAGCCCACTCCAAGCAAGTGTTCAAAGATGATATGGCTTGTGAATGAGTATTTCTTGACATTTGAAGCAAAATAATCTTCAGTTAAAGACTCGTCATTCTCTTGCGTTATTTGGGTTATGATCTCGTCATCAGTTATAGGATCTGTGCAATTCTCCTCTTCACTCATGGACAAGAAAGTGGAAATGGTTTCTTCTGTATGGGCGCTTTTAGTGTCACGCGGATTTGCTCACGCACGCGGGATTGGACCGCATGCGTAAAATTTCACGCTGCGGATCATACGCAGCATGAGTTTCAGTTTTCTACGGGCTGCGTAACGGTACAGACGTGTTCAAAAATGATCAATGTCAGAAGAATATGTGTCGCTTACATACTTTACAAACGACGAAACAAGAAGACAAGAGTACATGTTGATCCCTTTCTTGAAAATAGGCTTCTTGCTGGGGCGTTTGTTACACGCTTTGGAAAACTACAAAATAATGAACGTAAATTTAAAAATTACTTTCGAATGTCCATTCGTTCTTTTGATGAACTGTTGTGTAAAATTGAGAATAAGCTACAAAAAAGCAGTTTACGAAGGATTACAATACAACCGATTGAGAGGCTCGCTATTACATTAAGGTAAGTTTTAAATTTTAAATATTTAATTTCCTGCTATGATTTAGTGGAAAGGGATTTGAACAGGTAGGATAAACGTTTTTTGACTTCAAATTACTGTCATGTGTAAATTTACATGTGCAAAAAAAAAATTTTGTCATGTACTCTGAAATTTCATTGTTCATAATTTCATTCAATTTCATGTTGAAATTTCATTAAATAAGATTATTTCACTCATAAAATGTCGCCATTAAAGTGGAATCATTCCTACCTTTCATCACACGCTACTTATTATAATATAGATAAAAGTTATAGGTTTGCACATGACAGTAATTTAAAGTCAAAAAAAGTCCTTAATTGGTTTGGGATTGGTACGTTCAACCTACATACACAATCCTTTTTTTATCTGATAAAGTACACATGGCCACAGATCAAGTTACCCAAAACCAGCATAAATGGAACTCGCGCCTTGCGTATTATCATACTTAGGTAACCCGTCGGAGTCCCGCTTATACTGGATTTGAGTAACTTGATCTGTGCCGTGTGTACAACCGCACTCATATGACTAAACAAACAATTAGAGAGAAACTGGAGAAAAAAAGTTAATCGTACTCATTTTAATAAAAAGAGTTTTATTCATAAATTAAAAAATCAAATTTTACATCATTCATTTCTTTGTAAATTTGTATCCTGAGCGTTGACATTACTTTCGCCTGTAGATGATGTTGTTGCTGGGGTATAAATTACGTCATAAGACGTGATATTAAACAGGCCGCTTTCAGTCGAAATAAGAGTTTCATTGTCATTCACTGCAGCAGAACTAATAGCATTGTCGTTAAGACTCGAAGTATCCTGGATTATACTATTGGTTTGGTGACAATTTATCGGTGACAAACTGTCAAGCTCAGTAAAAGCACTAGAACTTGTTGTAGGTATGGGACTGTAGTATGCATAAGAGTATTAACTTATAGACTGCAGTATAAGAGTGATTCGGCCGCCGCACAGTGGATCACTATATTTTAATTATAAGAAATATTATTCTGTAGTGCTCCTCGCAATGTGTGATGCTGATTATAATTTTACATATATTAATGTCGGTACCAGTGGAAGCAACGCCGATTCAACCATCTTTAGAAGGAGTCAATTGTATACGAAACTGGAAAGTAACACGTTGGGTATCCCTGACCCGCAAGAGTTGCCTATTATTTGCCCCGAAGTAGCTTATCCATCTAGTGTAAGAGCAAAGTTGCCGTTCGTGATAGTGGGAGACGAGGCATTTGGTTTATCATCACATGTGATGCGGCCTTATGCTCGTGATAATTTACCTTACAAAAAGAAAATATTTAATTACCGTCTGTCCAGAGCTAGAAGGTACATA